GAATTGCTAGAGGATCGCTGATATTATTAATATGTTAATTAGACGAATTAAGAACTGTTACGTATTTAAATGTAAGAATAACTTCATTGAACATAGAATTGGTGGGAGGTTTGTTTGAATAGGATCTACAAACGAATGGTTATTTACATTGCAAGTTTAATTTGATTTAGGGTCGTTCTCGCTTATGAACAGGAGTGTACCATCGGGAAGCCGGGAAGTGAACGTGTCTGTGTATCTCGGCCCGTTTATCTCGAGACTTTCTCTTTCTCCTCCCACCCTCGCTTTCGTTCGTTTGTGTTATTGCTAGACGTTAATCTTGCCGGTGGCACGGCAGCCCGCGTAATTCAAGAAGCCCTGCCCTCGTTACCAGCGCTGCTAGGACGGTTCCAGGGCAGCGTCCTCCGTCGCTGCCGCTGCTCGATAATAGAAACGTTCGCTTCAGGGGTTGGCGAGTCGCTACGTGACGCGACGTCAATTTTCTACAACTGATGTTTTACAGAAGGGAAACCCCGCGCGGCACGTGCCCCGTATCGAGTTACTTCTACCACGGTTCGATCCGTGCGTTGGTATTTGGGAAATTGCAAGCGAATGCGTGACGTTCAGTCACGGTCAATCGCGTCGAGGGTTCGGCTTTCCCCTTTTTTCCCTTCAATTTATTGACAGCTGGAAGATATTTCCAAGTTTTTAAAAGAAATTTACTGTCTGCAGTTTATGTCAACGTTCAAAGTTGTTAATGAAAATAATGGAAACTTGATTTCAATTCTTATGGTAAGGATTAACTCAATTTGTATTTAGATTAGATTTAATTCTTTCCCTTTTGGTCATTTCGCTTTTAAATTCTTTTATGTTTTTACTAAAGTGTTACAGATAATTAAATTATAAAAAGCATAGGAATAGATATAAATTAGGCTCGTTGAATCGACTGAAAAATATCAGCGAGGTTCGTGCATTTTTATCTCGACATTTGCCCCAGCGAAAATGATTAATCTCCGCTTTCCTCTTACTTAATACATTGGCAAATCGAACATAAACGGTGTCCCAACAAAACTGGCAAATGTAGGAAAAAAAGAATTACGCTCTTTATAGAAGTTATCATCAGATATATGTATACATTCGATGAATCTACGAGATATTAAATGAATTGTACCGAGCACGGTTATTAGTTTTATGAAATGACTGTGAATAATCGTTGTGAACTTTCGCGACATACATAGAATTCGTGTCGCGCTCGTGTCCAAAGGTCGCCGGATATCATATCCATAATCAGATGGAACGCGATTACGTGCAGTTTTCTAATTTTATTCTGCAACAATTACAGAGCATATATTTAGCCTAGAAGACGAATGTCCCCTCGCGTTTCGAGCGATTGCACACGAGACTGTTGACTAACTTCCGGCGTCGGTTCGAATCGAACACAAGAACTGATAATTTTCTATGGAATGTCCCCACATTTTGGAAACTGACAATGGGTTCTTCCATGATCAAGCGACTATTCTTTTCTGTTTACACCCCGGTCCTCGTTCACGGGTCCATTAACATACGATATTGTTCAGCCCGTTGCGTCCCGGCGACAAAAAAAAAATAACGAGAAGGGGAAAACGAATTTCCTCTTGTCGTAGAAAAAGAACGGCGGGTCGGTGTTTATCAGGCTGACATTTTCAAATGTCGCGCGTTTTATCAGGTCGCGTTTAACGCTATGAGAGCTTAAAGCCGTGTCGCACGCACGCGTGATCGCTAGCACGGAGCATGGGAAACGAGCGAGTAGGGCGCGCGCGTGCACCGAATCGACGACGTCATTAAATTTACATAATAAGGCGTCGCGTGGTCGCTAAACCCGGGGTTGCACTACCGCCGCTTGCCGCTGTCTATTGACACTCTGACGTCGGATATTCACGTGCAGCTGCAGCGATCGCTGCCAATTGAGAACGAATCCAGTTTGGCCGGGGCGCGTCGAATTAGGGACGGGGAGAACGTCAAATGCGTTTTAAGGGGATATTAATACGTTATTCAGAAAGTTGATTCTAACCATCGATAATAACGCGTTCCACGATTTCCAACGAGACCACGAGATGAATTGGCTGTCGTGTGATTAATTAAAACGTACGCTTGAACGGGCATTGCCAAAGCTGTTTTCTTTTTTCTAACGATTACGGGGGACGGAAAATCCTGCGGCCTGTTTTTAAAACCGGTGAAAGTGTTGCTCCGGAAAAAATCGATCCGCGCTCGAAATAGCGGGAGAGCGAGAGGGTGAGGAAGGCTTTTATCACGCGAGCAGCAGGCCGATCGGTGGATAAGCCGAGATTTCGTTGTGGTAATCGATACACGCGGTCTAAAGCCCCGGCGCATGAATTTGCACGGGGATAAATTTAGCGTATAGCGATTTGCATGCGGCCAACGCTGATAAGCGTGTGACTGCGGCCGGAGAAAACGCGTATTCCCCATTTTCACGTTTCCCGTCTTCCCTTAATTGCCACCGGGAAGAATGACCTTTGCGTTGCAAGTTTTCCATAATTTCTGACCGGCCGTTGAATACCTCGCGCGTTCCTCGTATTGACGGTGCACCGACGTGATTTATCAAGCGAATATACCGAGCCGAACCAATTAGGCGATTCCGCGGGATCGGTGGAATTTTCATATTCACGCGGCCGGGGGAAATTAAACGCGCGCCGCGTCACGTTCAGGCTTTTAACCGCTTGGTTCCATTCTCGTTCCCGAAGTATGCGCTGGCAAAGCGTCGCCAGGTTAGGCGAACGTACCGTGGAACGTGTTAATAAGTTACGTATAAAATATTTCATTTCGACTTGGTAAAAAGCGTTCGCGAGGTGACTCACCAATTTTCACAGGGAAAAAGTCAATTTCCTACTTGGACAAAAAAAGTGTCACGCGTGACAAATACGCAATAATCCAGTTGCGTGGCGCGCAGAGTTTTTTCCCCGGTGCAATCAATTTCAGTGAAAACCGGCCGGTTTATTTTCGACGTAAAACAAAGCCCGATAAAAGAACGCAGCCCGCATCGTCGTTTCTCACGGGCGCAGCCGCCGGGACGAGAGACGCTCCGGTGGATCGACGCGCGGGGACGGTGAAAAAAGCCTCTGATCGCCGGCATTAAATCGAATAATTGGACGGGGAAACACGCGAGCGCGTTGGATTCCGTCAGGAAATAGCGCTGTGCGTACCGTGAAGCCAGGATTGAAAAAGAGGACTCTGGTTCCGCGGTGTCGATCGTTCCCCGCGACGGTGGTTTTGATCGGCGCGCATCGCGTCACGTAGCATCGACGAGGGCTCTCTCGGTTCGCGGTAGAGGCGGCGACCATAAAAATCCGTCCGGATCGAACCGGGGAGGATGCCTCGGCCTTAACCGAAAGGCAGGACGCGAAAAGAAGTAGACGCGGCCGGGGAAAAATCCTTCACGTTCCCGACGACCGCACGGACTGGTTTCTGGCCGCGGGAGAAAAACTCTCGGTGCACGCGGGAACACGAGAGAGAACCACGGAAGAATACCACCCACCTCGACCACCACCGTAGCAATACGTGTACTCGTTATAGTCCATGGACGGCCTCTTGAGTAATCCCTCGCTCGGCACCAGATCCAATAAAGCCGTTGGATCGCACATTGAGACTTTGACAAGTTTCGCACACCTTCATCGACGAGCCAATATCCACGGAACACCTCAGCTGCGAACTTCCTCAATCATAAACGACCATACGCCCCCTCTGCCACTCTTTTCTTTGTATTACACTGTAAACATCAGGCACGCAATTCGAACACACGGAGAACGTAAAATTCTTTGCCGGGTCTCGTACTCGTTTTTTCTCTTTACTAAGTTACACTGCACAGCACCGGTTAAAGCGGAGAATTTTCGGCCGCTTTTCGTCCAAACGATCCTTCCGGTCCGGGCTTCAAAGGGATCGGGCGCCACGAGACCGAGCGTCGATGGATGGCGTCTACGTACGACAAAGTACACACGAAACTCCGCCACGAATCCCAAATTAAACTTTGCTCGTCGCGTGTTTCACGTGAAATACGACGAGCCGTGGAAAGTTGCAACCCGGAATTACCCCTCGTGCACCTGTTATATACACCCGCTTCCACTGCCGAGAGGGAAGAGGAAAAAATAAATAAAGAGTTCGTTTTTCTTGGGCCGTCGAAAGTCGATGATAGAAAATTCCACGAGTTTACTCCACGTAAGTCACGGTTCCGGACGACACTTAGAAAACTGAGGAGAACTTATCTTATCCCTGCTGTACATATTCTTACTTTGATTTTTATACGATCTTCGCACGGAGATTGATCACAGTTTAATTGTGTATTCAACGTGCCGAGCACTTCGGCGTCGAGTCACAATATGTCAAATCGGAGTCGATCGACAAGGGGGTTCGAACGTCGGCACAGGGAAGGAGCGATCGGCGACTCAGCACGTTGCCACCGAGATAAGGGTTGAAAATTCGCAGTGCCGAAAGTTCCAGCTGATCGATAGCCCTCCTGGCTCGTCCTCCGGCCTCGAGATTTTCTATCCTCTCTTGCCCACGGCACACCTCCGGATCCTTGAACTCTGTTCCGCGTAACAAAAACTACCATCTATCACGAACACACGCCGCACTATTTAAATCCTTTCCGCAAGGGAGTTCACGAAAATACGTTCTTTTAAATCTCCAGCGATGTTGGCCGGCAACATCGAACAGTGATTCGATCGCACTTTCCGTAAACGAAAGTCAACTATTTTTTAATCAGTTTTCAGACAAGAGGTTCGTAGGATTTCCACTGTCACTGAGATTGCTACGAGAAATCGTGGCTGTCTGTCGAAGCGTGCTGCAAGCTCCTGAAGACGAACCGCACGCTTGCGCGGTCACTGACAGACTGAGGATACGACGGGGCCACAGCCGATGACTCCCGACACTGTGGCGGATGGAGCCGAAAGAAAGGGTGGGGAGTAAACGAGCGAGCAGGGGGATCTCTTTTTGGGGAGGAGGGGGACGGCTGGTTCGGGGGCGTACGACGGAAAAAGGGTAAGGGCGGCGCGGAGCGAAGGGTGCGGGAACAGCCGGTCCTCGGCGATCGCCGCGATCACTGCGTCGCCGATGCTGCAGCGGATCCCATCAACCGAGCTCCGCTTTCTCTCTTTCCCTTTCCTTCAAAACGTTTTCCTCTCCTCGCGTTCTGTTCTCGATGCTTCAGGTATGAATAAGTCGTCTTACGCGGGACAGGTCAGTAAGAAATGTCGAGTGTTAAATGACTTCATTAATAAACCAATCAGAAATATATTTCAATTTATTAAAACATGTACGAGTATGCAGAGTAACAGAGATAAAGTACGTATTATTTTTTTAAGAGACGACACAATCTGGAACTCACTTTTTAAATTGAAACCACGCACGTTTCGTTTTACATAAAAATTCGTACTCTGACAGAGTAAAATATTTAACAGCTCACACTTTACTTGCTCATCAATTTGTCAAAATTTTAAAAACAACCGGCACTCCGTTTAGAAGTGGCTGGTCGATTGGTCTCGGAGCGTGGTTAAAGCAAAGCATCCGGAAGGGATTGTTTTTATAAGAATAAATTCCTGTCAGATTGAGATGGACCGCGTCTGTTTAGCTCGAGGACGCCTCCGCGATAAATTGACTGTAGAATTATAACAGTTGCTTAATTCGTTCAGTGAAATTTTCCGATTCGTTTCTGGACCACGAGAATAGATACTTAATAGACATGCGTCGACAGTCATAAAATATTTTCAAGAAGAGAATCGATGTAATTTAGCAAGCCATTCGAAGTACAAATTGACGTGAAAGAACGAAATAACGGTTGTTGACACTAAGGGAATTAAATAAACGTGAAACAAAACAAACCGTGTAACCTCTTACAGATTTTTCGATCACGAGAGCACAGATCGTTTTTTACTTTATTCTTGCGCTTCGCCAATCAACGTCAATCACCTTCATTTACTATGACAGTACCGTGCCGTCTTTTGTTTATAACAATACGCAGTTGTTTACTCATCATGCGCAAAATACTTTTTATTCAATTGCTTCCCCAATGTTCAATGGTACCGATAATTGTACTACGCACAATACTCGTCAAATTTTCTTTTGCTTCCACAGGCCGTCGAATTATTTCAATGCCGTCATGTGCAATCATTCCGAAATTGTTTGATTTACCTAAAAATATTTTATTTTCTAAAAACTTCGAAAAGGGACTCGTGCCAGAATTTTCTGCCAAGAGCAACAAGAATCCATCTATAAATCTCATCCAAGATCATGTACTCTAAAAGAAGAGAGCGAAGTACTCCTGGAACGTTTCACGAGAAACAGGAAATTGCTAGATAAGAATGAAGTGATTAATTGAATTTTCTTAAGGAGGTTCGGGGGTTTTATAAAAACGTAGAGATCAGCATGAAATTTAAGAATATGTTTCCTTATTGCATAACAAAACCAAAATAATTTTTTCGAATTTTTCGTCCACGTTATATTGGAGAAAAACGCTTTTGAAATTTGCTCATTTTACACGGTTTCTTATGGGATACAAATATTCTGACTGTTCAAAATAGAAAATCAAGTTGAAAATACGTAGAGAATCGAAACTTATTAATATATATTGATAGAAAAAATAAACAGGAATCGTTTAATATTTTTATCAAGGTACGTTACCGTTCAATTTGCAGTGTAATTAACAATAATTTAGCATCACGGACTACTGCATTTCAAATCATGGACGGCTTAGTAAGAGATGTGGCAACAGCACGACTCACGAAGACACTTGTCCGTGTGTGCGTAACATAACGAACTTGAGTGTGCGAGACGATCAGTCAGTACCAACGTACAAATATATCTATGTGCTGTTGCCAAATTTGTTCGATTTTCTTTCACTTTTCCAATTTAGAAAATTTATTAAAAGAAAGTCAAAGACATGTTTAAAAACATTATCTATAACATTGTAAACGTCTTTTACATAATTTTTTTATGTAAAATATTGTTTTCGGATCGTATACAATAATTTATTTTAAGTTGTCGTCCCTGCTGCTGTCCTATGTTAAAGGATAGGCACCTCCCCGCGTCCCTCACGCCCCCCGATGATACCCCTGAACCTCCTTAAGAAGCATCGGAACATTCGCATAAGTCCATATATGTAAATGATAACACGTTATCTGTGTGCACAAAGGCGACGATAGGTGCATTTTCCCACGGAAGTTATCAACATCATTTGTCGATTCTTATCTACTGACACCGTGCCATTCTTCTTATTCGCCGGGACAAACTTCACTGAATCGACAGGTTGATAGCTCCCCCACCCATACTTCATTTTCTGTTCGTGGAGAAAGAAAACGAAAAGATCGAAACAGTACTGGCACGTTCCTATGGGCACCTTTTGCGCCATTCGCACTCGACTTAAACCCCTCGTAATGCATCGCGAATTAATGGTCGAGAGCGAGTTAACGAGTCAATGGTTAGCGTAACGAGACTTGAATGAGCCACTGGGCAACGCGAACGCCCTAGCCTCGTGCGTGTTGCACACGACCGCCCCCGGTAAAAGTATTGACAACACGCACAACGATAACCGGACGACTGTTCTCCTTTTGCTCTTCCTGTCTTCCTTCCTGCATTAACCGATAATGGATTGCCCTGAGTCATTATAGAAACTAACGGCTGCACAGAATCGACAATGAAAATTTTCTTGCATTCTTCTATAGCAGAGCTGCTCAGCCTTTGCCCGTACGGGCAGGGTATCTTGTTACCGCGGGCATAAATAATTCGGCGGGCACTGATCGAAGCCCTCGCGGGCAACTTCGGCACACTTATTACTAATACTATTTCACATACTTACTACTACTGTTTCGTTG